TGTATTAGACCTCTGAGGAAGGCCTGTAAAGGCCGAAACGCGTTAGGTCTATTTCATCAGCCTTTGTATGTTTTTATATTTGTATATGAGGTATGAATGGGCCCTTATTCGTTATTTTAATTTGTGTTTAATAAATACATGTATATTTTTGTATGTTTCATAATTAGATTTTAAGAGTTGTCCCTCTTCTATTCTTGACTAACCTTTATAGGTTCTGAATTCTAGGTTTTAGGTTCAGTCTCCCCCCCCCTTTTTTTTTTTGTCCTTATTGATGCACTTCTGAACACTATTTGGGTGCTGGTTGCTAACGAATTTCAAAGGAAACGAGACAAAGAGCTCCCACCTTCCACAGTTGGGGTGCTCTTAGCGTCAGAGGCCTCAGAGACTGGTTCGTCAGATCCATCATCAACTGGTATCTGGAGGGGAGAGCCTGAAAAAACACACATTTGGCGCTCAGAACAAGGAGCTCGGCCACGAATCGTGGGCTGCCCTCTACGCAAAAAGGCCCCTCTAGTTACAGCCTGCAAAGCTTGTGGCACAGAGGGACAGCAATGGCAGACATTCGCAAGAGGAAGGTAATGCTTTGGAAACGCCAGGGACAAGGTTTTCAGCGGCACCCGCAGAACGGCCAAGTCAGGCTGCTAAGAACAACTGATCCGTCAACCAGCAACAACGAAAATTAAAGCAAAATCGAAAGAAATCCGCAGGCAAGGCAGGCCCTCCCCCACCCACACAAACACTACTTTGCACTGAGCCCCATGGCTGCCATTTAAAGGATTTTGCAGGGGAAGCCTGGCTTTCCAAGAAAAAAAGGCATTCCGGGTGCTAGAACATAACAGTGAAAGATCGCCCCTGCAGAAGGAAGGAAACAAAAACGACCCACAGCAAATCATGAAGTAAAAGACGCCAAAATGCATGCCTCAGCATTACAGCTGGTTATGGTCACTACTGACAAGTCTGCTGAATTATAGTTCTTTAAGATCGAAGTGGAGCTGTGGTGGCTCAAGTGGTTAAGACGCTGAACTGCAGGCTGTGGAAGGTCAGTAGTTCAGCAGTTCGAGACCCGAGTGTGCCGCATGATGGAGTGAGCTCCCGTCTCTAGTTCCAGCTCCTCCCAACCTCGAAGTTCGAAAGCAAGAAATTGCAAGTAGATAAATAGGCACCGCTTCGGTGGGAAGGTAACAGCGTTCCGTGCGCCTCGGTGTTTAGTCATGCCGGCCACATGACCACGGAAACGTCTTCGGACAGCGCTGGCTCTTCGGCTTTGAAACGGAGATGAGCACCGCAACCCTAGAGTTGGACTTGACTGGCTTTCGAGCAAGGGAACCTTTACCTTTACTTTAAGATCGAAGTGTCTACCCTGTGTAATATAAAAGGACAAGTCCCCAGGGAAACAGGAACCCACTGCTCTCCTGTCATTTGGGTGTCAAAGATCTAGTGAAACACACACACACACGCCAAGTCTGTATAGGCGAAGAGAACACAATTCTGTATGTCTTCAAGGTCTTCATCTCTTTGTTTTTCCAAGATGAATCTGACTCAAGAGGAACACTGATAGGGAGCAACTGAGGACGTGATTCTGAGGATTCTACTGAGGATTGTACTGATGAGAATTAGTGATTCTACTGATTCTATTGAGAACTGGAGAAGGTGCTCTTGTGAGTCTCTCTGCACTCATATTACTGTTCCCAGTGTACATAATGGTTTTCTGAGGTTATGTCTTGATACCGATGCCGAAAGGAAGTAGCAGGCCACAGAGCTGAAGATGGTTGCCAAAGGACTACAGGTTTCTTACTTGGTCCATGCTGGCAAGTGAATGCAGAAAAGAGCCAGGAACCGTCACTAAAAGCCTGGTCTAGGATGTCCTAGGACCACATGTACAGGTGTAGCAGGAACACACCGGCACCCCATGAACTGGCTGAATCAGCTTAAGCCGAGGGCTTAAATATCCCAAAAGGGAAAGAAGCCACACCTGTTCCGACCCTGCAAGGGACCACATACACTGTCGCCGTGAGCTGGCTTGATAGCAGGAACACTGGCCTCAAGCCTGGACCTCCTGAGGGCTCCCCTCCCCCATCTTCCCCCAGGGCAATCTTTAGCGATGTCTTGATGCCGATGCCGAAAGGAAGTAGTACTACCCACAGGCCACAGAGCCGAAGATGGTTGCCAAAGGACTACAGGTTTCTTACTCGGTCCATGCTGACAAGTGAATGCAGAAAAGAGGCAGGAACTGTCACTAAAAGCAAACACGGAAACGGCCGCAGTTACAACTAACAGTTACGATGGGTCCTGGAGCCAGTTGCGGACTCCTCCACAGCAAAGATCGTCACAGCAGCTTGAAATCTGGGGCCTCCTAGGTCCTGGTCTAGGATGTCCTAGGACCACATGTACAGGTGTAGCAGGAACACACCGGCACCCCATGAACTGGCTGAATCAGCTTAAGCCGAGGGCTTAAATATCCCAAAAGGGAAAGAAGCCACACCTGTTCCGATCCTGCAAGGGACCACATACACTGTAGCCGTGATCTGGCTTGATAGCAGGAACATTGGCCTCAAGCCTGGACATCCTGAGGGGGTCCCCCCCCCCATCTTCCCCCAGGGCAATCTTTAGCTCCTCCTGTTCATCCTCCCAAGTCTGCATCTGGCCCAGGAGGGATCACAACAGGTCGCAAACATGGTAGCCTTGTATGCGTCTTCTGAAGGAGTATTTCTGCAAACAAAACAACACACAGCTCTGCCTTTGTCTGTGAGATCAGCAGTTGTGACACAGAAGTTGTAGGAGAAGGTAAGTCGTAATGATATGTGGGCTTCTGCTTCCTTAGAGGCTAAATGTGCGGGGCCCTTGCTTTATTTAACATTTAATCCATCGACTTGTCAACATTCTATGACGATACAATGTCGTTCTTCCTTCTCTTCCTCTGACAACGGTGGTTCTAATGGATTAGCTGTCTCTCTTCCAAGACCACTCCACCACCAGGCTTAGAGTGCTCACTTGCTGATGCCTCTGTTGCAATATCTGAGCCAATTTGGTTTATTTATTTATTTAGATTTATATCCCACCTTGCCTGACAAGCAGACTCAAGGCGGCGTACAGTAATTAAAAGTACAGCATTGCACAGCACCAGTGACGGAGAGGGGTCTTTAAATCCAGCCCCACTGGAGCTTTAAACCCAGCCCCACTGACTGCCACCTTTGGGATGGGGCGCAGGCTGGAAGGAGGCCGAGTTTCTCTATTTCTCTGCCCCCTTCCTTTTGCTTTATGCCTGGCCCCACCGCTGTACTTCCCCCGCCCCAGGAGCACTGATATATCCGATCCAAACCAAAATGCTCATTTGGCCCACAAAGGCCTGCAAACAACCTGACTCCATTGCATCTACTTTGTTTAGTTTTCTGACGCAGGTGTGATCTGGGCATCTGCTGCTTACACCTGGCTCAGTCACAAGTAAAATCTCCTCTCTGCTGCAGACCAAAGCGGAGCCACATCCAGACACCCCAAAGCAGGGATCCCACTCCTGCATATAGAAGCTGACAACCAACCCCCAGGTTCATGGCAGTATAAGACCCCTGGGAAGGAAGATGTTCCCTTTGTTGGCTGTAGATATGCCAGTGCCACCTAAAATCCATCAAAGGCGTCTCAAGATCTTCCACAGATACGCGCTCTAGTTTTGAAAGATTGTACTCTGTACTGGAAGTGTCCAGAAGAGCACCATGCAGACTTCAAAAGACAGTTCCATACATTTTCAAGGAGAGCCCCTGGAGAAATCAGTTCCCAACAACAGTCATTCAGAAGAATTAAAGTTTATTGAGACATTGATAGGATCCAGACTCTTAACAATTCTTTGTTAGAACTGAGGCTAGGTGCACGAAGCAAGTAATTATACTTAAATCAAACAGGATGTCAATGGCCCTGGGCCAATCACACCTGAGCTAAAAGCCCGCCTGAATAACGGCATATAATTCTCAGGAGAAAGAAGATCCCAGGGATACTTAGGTCTCAAGGTTACATGGCTGAGTCAAGACAGATAACAGCATAGTGGCTAGAAACAAAAGTATACATTATTGTTTCCCCACGTCTCCATGGCAACCAAGCCCAAGAGGGGGCCAGGTTGACAGAAGGTGCCTATCAGGTCTCCCACAGAATAACTTCCTGGAGCATAGCTTTGAGCTGAGAGCTTTCTTTTTTCACCAGTAGTGCTGATTACAGTAGTACTGTATGGCTGCGAGAGTTGGACTATAAGGAAGGCCAAGTGCTGAAGGATAGATTCATATGAATTATGGTGTTGGAGAGGACTCTTGAGAGTCCCCTACACTGCAAGGAGATCAAATCAGTCAATCCTAAAAGAAATCAACCCCAACTGTTCCCTGGAAGGCCAGATACTGAAGCTGAAGCTCAAATACTTTGGCCACCAAATGAGAAGGGAGCACTCACTGGAGAAGACCCCGATGCTGGGAAAGATTGAAGGTCAAAGAAGAAGGGGACGGCAAAGGATGAGATGGTTAGACAGTGTTATCGAGGTAATGAACATGAAATTAAGCAAACTCTGGAGCACGACGGAAGACAGGAGGGCCTGGTGTGATCTTGTCCATGGGATCGCAAAGAGTCAGACTCGACTGTGCGACTGAACAACAACTGTGCTGATTACATGGCATTCTTTTCCCCTTCTTACTCGACTATGGAGTCATCCACTGGTATCTGGAACCAGTATGCTCTTTGACACAGCCACTGGTTGAGATTTCTTACAGTTTTATATTTGAACCCCATTAAGACTTACAGTCCTTTATCAGTAGCTGCAAGAGTTGAACTAGAAGGAAGGCCGAGCGCCGAAGAATAGATTCTTTTGAACTAGGGTGCTGGAGAAGACTCTTGAGAGTCCCTTGGACTGCAAGAAGATCAGATCTGTCAATCCTAAAAGAAATCAACCCTGACTGTTCCCTGGAAGGCCACATAATGAAACTGAAGCTCAAATACTTTGGCCACCCAATGAGAAGGGAGCATTCACTGGAGAAGACCCTGATGCTGGGAAAGCTTGAAGGTCAAAGAAGAAGGGGACGGCAAAGGATGAGATGGTGTCATAGATGCAACGAACACGAAATTGAGCAAACTTCAGAGGACGACGGAAGACAGGAGGGCCTGGCGTGATCTTGTCCATGGGGTCGCAAAGAGTTGGACTCGACTGTGTGACTGAACAACAACAACAATCAGTAGCTTGGTCAGAAGTGATGGGCCACTTCTTCGGCTTGGTCCAACGGCCGACAGGCAGGGTTTATGTTTCCTCAGGCACAGAGAGGGTCTTTGCCTTCACCGGTGAGATATCAGCTGTATTCTTCAGTCTTTCTTCACCTTTTTCTAGGAACAACCGGTACCAAGTGGCTCATCTGAGGCATCCCCGCCCTAGTTCTAAATACGGGCTAATCTCTGCACTCCTTCTGC